CAGAAAGAAAGAAAGAAAGAAAGAAAGAAAGAAAGAAAGAAAGAAAGAAAGAAAGAAAGAAAGAGGCAGACAGACAGACAGACAGACAGACACTGATTGTTGGAATTTTCCCAGAAGGTGACTCACCTCTCTGACAAATCGTTAACTGAACACTCATTTTCTGTTAAGACATGCACTAGACATGGCCAGCTCAGCACTGAGAAATACCAAGATGGAACTATGGCGCCAGTATTCGAAGAGGGCATCATGTACACTGCAGGAAAATATCTGCCACTGGGCAAATAACTAAATCCACCAATTTGCTGCCTAACACCAGTTAGATAACACAAATTTAGAAAATCCCTAAACATCATCAAGAGTACCAGTAATTCTTCTTCTTTTTTTCCTCCTGTGAACTTTGCTCTTGAAAGCCCAAATTGGGATCCCCCTGGAATGCTATCTTGGGAATTCATTGTGATTATCTGGGGAAAACCTTTATGGAATAAAAGATATTTTCCATGCCAAGCAAAAAGCATTCTCCAAAGCTGGTACTTAACTATTACTTAAAAAGAGCTTAACTTGAAAAACCCTAATTTATTTTAACTATTGAGGTTCCAAATGGAAAAGGGCAATTAAAATTTATCAAGAATGAAATGCCCAGTTGATATTTCTAGCATTCTCTGCTGTTTATTTAAGTATGATGTCCACTCAAAGTATTATGTATACATTTTAACATACTGTCCGTGGTCTCCATGATGGAACGGGAGTAGTTATTGAAACCATAAAATTCCATCCATGGTTTCTTTAGCATTATGTACAAACTAGGAAGTTTATATTGGGGTTTGCATGGTCAAAACCAGGATTACCAGCTCTTACATTCTCACAATCAAACAACAACTTACTCCCACGGCGGATGTTGATAAGAAGGTTCCCTCTGATTTCCGTGCATCCTTGTAGCGTCTGTGCTGATGTGACAGAGTCAATGGTCATGATTTTGTCATCTGCACACACTTTGGGGCAGGGTCCCTCACAAGGGCTGCAGAACATGCTGGTAAAAGGCAAAGGATATGAAGAGATCAGCACAAATCGCCCTTCCTGAGAGAAAACCTTCTTACAAATGATGATCTGTCTCCTGCTAAACTAGGCAGAGTTTCAAAATGGAAAGGGAAATGAGTTCAGGAACCCAGGCTTTACATTTTGGAGAGGGAACGCAGAGCCACCTTCAGACAAGATGAGACAGGCCTCTGTAATGCATCTCCCCAAACCCCTGAGCCAATTTCCTAATGCCCTTCTGCATCACCAAGCCACTGTTCTTCTCTTTCAAGCCCTATTCTTCATTCCAGAATGTCTGTCAGCCATTATGCTATGACGGTGTTTCTCAACCGTGGCAACTTTCAGATGTGTGGACTTCAACGCCCAGAATTCCCCAGCCAGCCAGGAGTTGAAGCCCATCCGTCTTAAAGCGGCCAAGTCTGATCAGTTGCATTGTTGAGAAACACTGTCTTATAGTATACTCCTTGGCCTACAACCTTTTGCTTTTTCAGTACCTCAAGTCATTCTTACAAACAAGTCTTCCTATCTCCTTGTTTATTCCTGCAGCTTAGCCCAAGAGCCTTGGCCTTCAACGGCTTGAGTTGAAGTTTACCAAAGTCCAAAATGGGAACCACTTCCAGAAGCCCATGCTTTGGGGGACCTGCAGAGCCAATCTTTCACACACAGCAAGTGGAAGAGGCACAAACTGCCACACCTACCAATGGAGGGTCGCTGTCATGAAACACCTTAAGGGCTATCCCTCCTTTCCCTAAAACCCAAATTTTCTTGCCTATTTTAACATAATCAGCAATATAAAGTGGTTAATGAAGCCAACGTCTGCTTCCCCCCCAAAAAAGCTTTCTGTTTCGGGTTGCAACTCCAAGATGTTGTACCAAGTTGGGGAAGACTGGCCAAGGAGATCCAACCTGTATAGTTAGAGAGACTTCACGCTGTGAAATTAGCTAGTTCAGCAGCCCTACTGTCTTAGGAGGGGGCTGTTGGGACTGTTCAGTCTTCAACAGAATCAACTCGCTTCCACACCACAGCCAGATTCGTCTTCGAATCGCCCTCTGACTTTTCGTGCATCGGCAGACAAATTCAGGCAGAGGCTCTGTATTTTTTCCTTCACTCTCTCTTCTTTCCCTTGACTTGTCAGCTGATTCCCGGCTGAGTCACATGGCAGTTGTGCAAGCCAGCGGCTCCCATGATGCCTTTACATGAATTAACAAGCTCATATTTCAAATGCTTCAGCACAAGGCACTGTTGATACATGCCAGAAACCTTCGAGAAAGCACACTAAGAATTTTTAGCCCTTCGTTTGCAGTGATTGGTGTGCTATCAAGGGAGATTGGAGCAGGAAAACACACACGCGCAGCACCCTGCCTATCCATCACCACTTTCTGCCCATCTTTTCCATTAACACAATGAACATTTTGGACAAGGTAAACACGCTGCGCTTTTTATGAGGGCTTTTAATCGCTTGAAAACACAAGCGGTCAGATAGTAGCGAGGAAAAACATTTCCCAGTAAACATTTGGTTTCTAGCTAGGGGCAGAGATCACTGTTTTGCACCTGTATGTAAACTAGAAATTCTTCAGGGAAAGGAGAGGTCTGTTTGGACAGCTTCACAGAAAGCAAGAGACGCCAGATGTCATCAGGAGCTCAACTCCCCAACCCAAATAAAGGCACGCAGTCCAGGTCATTAAAAACAATTTTAAAAAAACAGCTCTCCGGGAGGAATATTTTCTTTTTAATTACCCATGGATCAGAAATGCCAAAGTCTCTTAATCATGCATCCGATAAAGCGGATTCAGCAGTTAATTTCATTTCTTCAGCCTAACAGCTACCAACTACTGTGTATACTCGTGGATAAGCCCATCCGCGGATAAGCCAAATCCAATTTTTGGGGGGTGTATTTCAGCAGTCAGATAAGAGAGGGCACAGCCCGCAGCTGCATAACGGGTGGAGAAAGAGACTCAGAAGGGACCCTCTCTAAGTTTTCGGGCTGTAAAGGAGACAGCGGGAGATCTGTACTTTCAGACCCGCAAGATTATGTTAACGTAGCCTTACAGTAAAGTAGAATTAGTTCATCTGGTCGTGTTTCCCGTCGGGTCTATCTGGGAAGGCTGACAAGACTTTGGAGAAAGCTTTAAAAGAAAAGGCTGTGATACCACAAGGAGCTTAGGTGCAAGTTTACATAACATTTTCATGGCTCAGGGACTGAAGTCCTCTGCACACACACGTACACAAGCTCAACAGAAGATCAGCTGGGAGAAATGTGTGCCTGGATTGTTCAACGGTAGCCCTTACAAGAGAGGATCGTGCAATTTAATACTCCCTACATGAAGAAAGTGTCCTCATGGACACAGAAAATTCTTGGTTAGCTTTTCTCTAGGTAGACTAACTTCTGAATATCTACAAATGTGCAAACTCTTTATTATTGTTGTTGTTGACCTTGTGTAAACATCAGCAGTCAGTCTTTGTCCTAGATTCTCCATCCAAAATAACATGACATACAAGGCAGAAGGGCTAGAAGGGGCAAACAGTAACCCTTGGCACAAGTTCTCAAAATTAGAATAAACAGGCAACAGCCTCAGCATCCCGTCAACATTAAGTAGCATAATCTAAGAACAGTTTATGGCCCATGACCTTTTGTTTGTTTAGTCTGGCCTAAGTAAGAAATGGCTTACAAATGGGACAAAGACTTGCAAGACTCATAATTAAAACAGAGATGATTCACACATTTTGTAGCGCAAAGTCTTCAAATGATGATACCAGAAATGGTGTACAGACACTTGTGAATCAAGAGTTGCCTCCTGAAGTTGCAGAACCCAAGGAAAAATCTCTAGCATGTAATTTTGCCAGCTTTGAATGAGAAAGAAAACGCTGGAACAGATTTCCTATCAGGAAAGACTAAAGGAACTGACCCTTTGACAGCTGTGCTCTGTATCAGAATAGTCACTGTGCACAAAAAGCCAGACTAGTATTGTGCAAATGTTTCTAATGTCCTGCACATACTGATTATGTTATGTTATGTTATGTTATTATTACATCTAATTTGACAACATGCAGGCAATTCTTGTTATTTGCAGGCTCCATATTTGCAAATCCATCTATTCGCTAAAATTTATTCGTAACTCCAAAATCAATAAAGGAAGACCTCACTTACCGACTGCTCTGTTTAGTGACCATTTGCAGTTATGATGGTGCTGAAAAAGTAACTTTACAATCAGTCCTTGTATTTACAATCATCATAGCGCCATGCGGTCATGTGATTGACATTTCAGCACTTCACAACTGGTGGGCATTTACAACTGTCGCATCATCCTGTGGTCATGTGATTACCATTTGCGCACTTCACAACCAGCTTGCAACAAGCAGTCAATGGAAAAGCCAGTAGTAAAATCGCAAGTTGTGGTCACATGATGTCTCAATTAATGACCCAGGTCATAAGCCCATCACAGTCATGTGATGTTTTGCTTAGTGATCACATGCTTAGTGACAGAGTTGCCAGTCCCAACTGTTGTCACTGAGTGAGGACTACCAGTACTTGTGACGCATTCCTGGTTATTCATAGACATTACAGAGCAGCAAACATTTTGAACTGCTGCTCTGCGCATGTCTGCCTTCTCTCAGCAATCTCACTGGTTAAAATGGCTATCAAAAGTAAGATCTTTTAAATAAAACTTTAAGTGCTTAATCATGGCTGGCTGGGGAATTCTGGGAATTGAAGTCCACACATCTTCAAGTTGCCAAGGTTGAGAAACACTGATGTAGAGGTTAACATGTTGGACTGGAACTAAAAATACTTGATTTCCTCACCTGGTCACAGAGCTCCCTCAGTGATTTTGCATAAGTCATTACCTCTCAACCCAAGCTATCTCATGGAATTAACATGAGGCTAAAGTAATGTGTGGGAAGCCCCTACTCGATGCCTTTAATGTCCACAAGAAAGGGTAAAAATACAGGAAAGAAAACAAAAGAAAATCAGATTGGATGGCAGATTCCAAAGGAGAGCCCAGCAGGTTCAACGGTTTTACAAAAACTAAAATACAATTTAAAAAATCAATACTCAATTTTCAGAGACCCCCATTAAGAGTTCAGACTCTTCCTTACACCCCCCCCAAAAGCCACTTGTCATTCCTGTGCAAACACAAGTGTACACCCATTACCTTTGGGTATCGTTGCGCACAAATCCTGGAGGGCACTCCTGCACACACTCATCGTCATGGATGACAAAGCTCTCGTATTCAAGTAGATCCGAGGAAGGTATTCGGGAACAGTTCTCCTTCGTGATACAGCGCCAGCCCTCAAACTTGTAGGTGTTGGGTGGGCAGGTGGGAACACAAGTGCCATCATGGTAGTAGTTGCGACAGGCCACACACGCCGAGTTGTTGTTTGGTGCTGTGCAGCTGCCCAAGCACTCGGGGTGGCAGCATTCATTCTGGTCCGTACAAGCGTATTTGCCACAGGAGCTGGGACATGCTGTCGAGAGAGAACAGAGCAGAGCAGAGCACCAGGCATGAAACGACCATCTTCAATGGGAAGGAAGAAAAAGCCAAAGAGATGACATGACCTAGGCCAACGTTCAGCAGCTCCCATCCCACGTATTCTGCCATCAACATTTCATAAAGCTAGACTTTAACAAGGTACAAATGCAAAAGATAAGTACGTCTTAAGATTATGTGATTACAAATGCATAACAAAAGCACCTTTAATTACAATTGGCTGCATCAATTTAGTTAATTAATGATATAGCCTCCCAACCACTCCTAGAGTATCCATAATGGTTTCACCATAGAAAATGCAAGATGCATCTCAAACAACAAATACAACAGAGGAATAAAGTCACATCTAGCCAATAAACCAAAGGCAGGTAGCAATGGCTTAGTGTAATCTTGTAACATACTTAGTAACAGGTGCAAAATAAAGCAAGCCATTACTACTACTACTAATGTGCAAACCCAGGCATCCTTAGGGTTAACCTGGTCCTAACCATCCATATCTTCAAGGATCTGAAAACAGACTTTCAATAATCAGCCCAGAACTTAAAACTGCTACCATCTGAAATCAGATCCATGTTTTAAAATTTAGGTCCCAATTGATACAACAACCAAAGCTGATAAAAGCACTCTTGCTGCCATCTTGGCATCCAAAAGCAGTAACAAGTCTAGCAGCTTCCAGAACCTGCTTATGTGGTCCTCAAGGAATTTGAGGAACTTTGGATGATCTGAGTCACCTCTTCCCCAATCACCAAAATTCCAAATCAAAGAGCCTCTGGTATGTCAATGTTAAGTCTGTTTGCTCACTCCCCTCAAGTTTCATCTACACAAGTATCTTCGCTGGATTGTCAACCTAAGAAGGATAATAAAAACAAAAGGCAGAACTTTGCCAAATAAATGTTTTGTGACTGACCACATCAACTATACCTTCAGTGTCCATGCCTCAGCAAAGGTTAACTAACTTTCCTCTAACCTATCTGACAAGGGAAGTTGCATCACACCAGATCAAAAGATGTCCATGAACTTCCTTCAGACACAGAATGGATAGTTAAGTCCAAAACTTTTCAGGGTTGGGGCTGCCTATTCCTAGCCCATTCTGTAAGTAACTTTCTAGTCCAGTGTTTCTCAACCTTGGCAATTTTAAGATATGTGGACTTCAACTCCCAGAATTCCCCAGTCAGCATTGAAGTCCACACATCTTAAAGTTGCCAAAGTTGAGAAACACTGTTCTAGTCTATCACGAAACCCTTTCCATCACTTGTTTTCTTAGCTATTTAGGCCAGAGATGCCAAAGACTGAATCTTATGCATATGAAACATGTGCTCTACCTCAAAGCTATGTTTGCTCCTAGGAGCAAAAGTACCTGCAGCCTTTTCCTGATACTTTCACCTTTGAGAAGTTAGAACGTTTGTGATATCACAGCAGCCCAGCTGCAAGTGACTGTTGGGTTTTATTTTTATTCCAAGCTAAAGCTACTCAATGACGATCTCCAGAATTATCTTGAACAAGTGGCTGGAATAGGGAACTGCTATTAACTCGACATTACAAGGACTCTCTGCTCAGATGCCAGACTTGTTAGCCTCCAGTGAGCTGTGCCTCATTCAATGTCTGTAAATATTAGAAGTCTCCAAGGCTATTAAGAGACTTCTTCAGTAACTCCACAGACAGTACGCCTTGCAAGCAGATGGATTGTTGCTCCTCATGAGTGCCAAAATGTAAGATTTAGCATGATAATGAGATTTCCCGTTTACACAACGATATCAAACAAAGCCATGCCTCTGAAGAGCTCTGATCATGATACCTAGAGAAAATTATAGGTTACCATGTGCATTTTGTTAGATAAAGAATAAAAGACAGACGGCTTCTGTACTATGGAGCAGTCCCAAATTCATCCATAGCCAACTGGCAACACAGCACTCAAATGAGAAAATGCATGGCTGCATAGCTATGTTAAGTGAGAATTGGTTGTTTCTAGAAGTCTACAAAATAGTTCAAATTCATAATGTTTCCAACTCAAAACTACCTTTTTCAAGTTCAAAACAGTTACGACAACTTTCAACCAGGCTTCCAATTTTACCAGAAAAGCTCCAATGCTGATGCAACCATTCCCAAAATGGTTCCAAGCGTTGTGTGTTTCCAGAATGATCATTAGAACGCTACTAGTAAAATTGAAAAAACCCAACTCAAATTTGCCTCCTTCCTAGGGCTGAGAGAGAGGGACTGGCCCAAGGTCACCTAGCTGGCTTTGTACCTAAGACACGACTAGAACTCATGATCTCCCGGTTTCTAACCTGATGCCTTAACCTCTATACCAAACTGGCCCTCAATAATTATAATAAAGTCCCTGCAGTTTTCTTGGCAGGATTTCAGAAGTGGTTTGCCATGGCCTCCTCCTTCCTAGGGCTGACAGAGAGGGACTGGCCCAAGGTCACACAGTGACAAGGTGCCTAAAGTGGGACTAGAACTCACCGTCTCCTGGTTTCTAGCCTGGCACCTTAACCACTACACCAAATGGGCTCTCTAATGCCATTTACCCAATAACGACCCTTTAGTATTTCTAATATAGGTTGGTGTAGTATTAAATATTCATAATACAGTCCAGTTATCCTCAACCAGTTTGCCCTTTTATTCCATATGTATCAGTATACCTCTACACAAACCACAGCCACTCACTTTAAAGAATATGGCCCAGCAACATTCTTGGAAATAAAGATAATGCTGTATGCTGGTGTTCTGCTTTGCAGATTGTCAGTTTCCCACTGCCAGCTTCTGCACAGTTATTCATACCCACCCAAGCTATAGTCTGGAGAGGTAGAATCCAGGCATCTTGTGAAAAAGCTGGTTGAAGTGACCCTTCAGAAACAATAAATCTAACACAGCTAGAAAATGCTGACAGAGACACACAATTTGCTGAAGTCTAAATGCAACCTATGTCGGGAACAACGTCCAGGCATTTAGACTGGCAGCTCTGAAAGACCAGGGGGTTCATACATGGGGGACGTTAAAATGTAGCCAGAGAGAAACATGCAACCAAAAATGTAATTTCTGCAGGCCAGTCACCATCCGAAAATGGGGGAGAGACTAATCTGGCCCCTATCACCTCTTTGTGACCTCATAATTGTCTTCCCCATAGATCAATGCTCTTAGGATCATTTGGATTGTATGGAGAATAAGTCCAACTTGATAACACAACTTCTTCTGTACCTAAAAGAACGAATTAACACATGCAAAGAGGCAGATTACAAAGAAAAGCATTCATCGTTCAGATGCAAAAGTGCATCACGAGAGGTTAACAACTCCCAAATCAACGGCACATTATTTACAGAAGCACAGAGCAGACAAAAAACATAAACTTTTCTAGAAGGCTCCAAAAGCTCAACTTGGGGGTTGCTGTAGGACACTTTTTCACCTGGGACGTCAACGCCCATGAACGCCTGGGAGTTGTAGTTGAGAAATGCTGCCTTGACATTTGGATCAGCCAGTTGTTCTTCCTGCTTCTAAAACATGGTGGCTTGAGCAAGGGTGAAAGGAGACCATCAGGTGAATAAACGATCCACTGGAGAGGTTGAGAATTGTTGTTGGTGGGCTAAGGCTTCTGGCAAGCGGAGGGCACTGCCTCTGCCAAGACTGGCAGTGTGCCAATCACACATGGGCAGACCAAGTTGCCAAATGTGCAATTTTTTTTTTTAAAAAAAAGAGAAATAAAAAGAAAGCGCCTTCCTTTTTTTGTAAAATGATATTCAAGTATTTTTTCTAACCCCATCCACCCCCTCTCCAATAAATCCTCATCCAAGTAAATCTTTCAACCCAAAGAATCTAGTTCCAAAAAGGGATGCAGAAGGAGCTAGTCAAGTGGTCAAATTTCACTTACAAAAAATATGAAGGGATTTGGGAACAGAAACTGTTGAAACCCCTGGAATGGCCTCTTCCTTAACAAAGCCATAAACAATCAACAACAAACTATTTTGTAACTAGTTAGCACAACTTCCTATAGAAGTGTTCGTTCATGCAGGCTATTTAGGGAGATACAGGGTCTTAATAATACACACAGCCACCCTATAAAGGTAAGCTAACTCTATTTTACTCCAATGGGGCCAAATTATTGTGCTTAAAAAGGGTTAGGGTTAGGGTTCATTTCCAACCTCCATGATGTTGAAGTCCACAATCCATCCCTTTCTCACTGCCTTTCTCTGGCCTGTGGAAGGGCAAGATTTGACTCACAACCTCACAGGAAAAAATCATGCCTTTGACCTGAGCTCCATACAGATACAACATCTCCATTCTTTACCGAGAACCAAAGTCAGGACAACAGTTCAAAGCAAGCATTGCCCACCCGTTCCCCAGAATCACAGGTCACGTGCGGTAGGCTGATCAAAACCCAACACAGCTGTAGCAAGGAAGCCTACTAGATAGCTAGGCATTAGGGAGATCTTGGAGTGGGTTACCAAACATCTCTTCATGCACTGCTCTTTATCAGTGTTGACAGAATTTGCCAAATCTGGAAACGCTGTGTGTCTCAGAAGAACCACTATGAGGAGACTGCTGGTATCACTTGGGGAGGCCCAGGTTCAAATCATCCCCTGGGTCTGAAGCCCACCAGCGATGGCAGACCATTTATGGTCCCTCCCTCTTGCTTCCCAACCTCACAAAGCTCTGGTGAAGATAAAGGTGTGGAGAAAAGAGCCCCTTCTGGAGCTCCAGATAACATCATGCTAGTTATCAGATTGCTTTTGCAAAGGTACAACTAAATGCCTTTTCATCACAGAGCCTGCTAAGAAGGTTCCAGGGAATACCTCTGGTACAAAAAGTCTGTCCTTGCACTCAGTTAATGACTGCCTTGTTTAGCGACCATTTGAACTTACGACGGCGCTGAAAATGTAGGTTTATGACCAGTCCTTAAACTTACGACAGTTGCAGCATCCCCAAGTCACATGATCGCGATCTGGGGGCTTGGCAACCAGCTTGCACTTATGACAGTTGCAG